AAATACAATAGTAAATAATCCCAGCTCGAACCACGGAATGAAATATGTTCCCGATACTTTTGTATGTGCACCGAGTAAACTTAATGTTGACAACCATTCTCTACTAAAATAATTATAGAAAAATACAATAATTTTACTCTCTACAAATAACTTGTGACTCTTACTTATTTTCTATAGCCTATTTATTTATTTTCTACAATTTTACATCTTAACTAATGGTACATTGACATTATAATCTTTCTCTCGTAACTATCAAAAGAAGAACACGTTTTAGTCCAAAATATAGCAGTACATTAACAAAAAAAGGGTCGAGAAAATATTGAAAACGACAGGATCAAAATAACGGCTGTAAATCTTGATGTAGCAAGCGAAGCACTAAATGACTACAAATCAAAAAGTACAGCCCTATCTATAGTGCGACTATAACATACGAATGACGTGTTGCCATCTACCGGATCATATGCGCATTCCGATCACGTACGAATCATCACTTATGTGTTTGTAAGGGTGCGTTGTACTTGGTTGGAATTTCGCAATTTTGAAGTAACTTTTTGGAGAAAATTGTCATTTTGTTGCTGAGTTGTCGAAATGTTGTCGTGGGAAATACAATATTGTAAATTGTATTTTTTTACAAAGGAAACGAGAGGTATTTGTGTCGCAAGACTCTCATATATTATGTACAGTCATATGTACCTAATTAATCTTTAGGGTTGGAATACATGTCAAGAGTTTTGTTCAATGATCTAATTATCTATACTAATATTATAAAGAGGAAAGATTTGTTTGTTTGTTTGTTTGTAATGAATAGGCTCCGAAACTACTGGACCGATTTCAAAAATTCTTTCACCTCTGGAAAGCTACATTATCCCCGAGTAACATAGGCTACATTTCATTTTAAAAAAAAAAAAATTCTACCCCGTGCGAAGCCGGGACGGACTGCTAGTGTAGAATAAAATTGACAGTTGACAGTTTTTAGTATGGAAGAATTGTCAAAAATTTAAAGTTGAAATTTATCTGAGCATTAAAAATTGGCGCTATAAATAGATATAATTTATTTCAAATGGTGAGTTGACAAGATATCTTTTATAACAGTATTTTTTTTAAGGTTAGAAAGAACAGTCATGTAGAATTATTCGATTGTGTAATACAAGAACATATGTAATAAAAATATTCCTTTTATCTACTGTAAGTTCACTCTTGTTCACATATACAGTTTTAAAAACTAAACACATGTTACTCGGTGGGTGTTCTAGGATTAAAATGTTAATAGACACGCTTACAATAAAGTTCTAAGTTTAATAAGGTCTAACATATTGAGGTGGTTTAATGAGGTCTAATTGAATTTGGATAAATATGTATTATCAAAATATTATAAGCAACCCCAATTATTTCAAAAGTTAATATTGTTTTCACTATTATCAATAAAGACACCATTTTAATACAGCATTGTTATAAAAACTTGACCAAATAAATGATAAAAATCTTGCTAAAACATGATCTCGGTTCTAACAAAAGCTTTCGAGACGGGTATCCACTCTTTTTGTGAAAAAGCACACCGTGTCGCTCAAATATTCTATTTTAAACGTACCCTAAGCTGCAGGAGTAGGCGTGCAACGAGTAAAAGCCTTTTGTATGTAACGCTATACCTTTGTCTCGGTTCTGTGCACAGCCCCCGGAGGTATTCCTCAAGGAAACATTTTTGGACCATAATCAAAAGGATACCTTCTTTTTTATAAACACGCGGGCGCGTCTTTTGTTAAAGAATATTTTTGTTAGGGTAATTGAAACGTTTTTTAGTATGACTAGAATTCTTGAGTTTTGTATGGAAATAAAATTGTTATCTAATGTAATCATTTTCGGTACACTAACTCTGTTTATTGTAAAGGTAATTGCGTATTTTAAGAGATTTTTTGAGATATGTTAGAAACTTATCAATATGTTAAAGCCATCATAGAGTCAACCGAATACAAGTTAAAAGATCATTTGGAGTCACACTTTTTTTAGTAATATTCACCTAAATGTTCAAAATACCAAAATAACAACAGATGATATAAATATTTATTATACTTACGTTGTTGAAAAATGATATTAAAATATTTTTTCTTATTACTTTTTTCATTTACATACATTTTTGTATATTGAAAGCAAATATTTCAGACTCACTTTGAAAATTGAATCTATTTCAAGACACATTACACAAAACAATTCATGTTTATCAATGAAATGAATGAGTATGTACAATCTTATATTTTCCTTCCAAATTGCTTATACGGAGACACCTAATCAAACAGTGAAATGTACACCCCACGTAATAAGTTCCGAGATATAGACGGCCGCTCGTCACGTTATACCTTCCTGTCAAATCGCTTTATTAGATTTTCAACTTTATTGCTTTACTTTAAAGTCGAAACTATAATGCAAAAGATTGACAAATTGAAGTAGTTTCACTTGCTGGCATTTGTACAAGCTATTAAAGAAGAAAGGATTCCGTTCTGGCATAAGGTTTAAAAGTAAGACGTAAAGCATCTGACTGGTTGGTTACAAACGTTTATGTTGAGTGATTTTTCCATTTACTAATTTTCAATAGCTGTTCATAGGAATAATTTTGGTACGTACTAAATAAAAAGATTTTTCTTTATTCTCTAAAATGAATTAAAACGTTAAAGATGTGATGGTAAGCCAATTTAATGAATGGAGGTAGAAAATACAGTGATTATAGAAATTAAATATTTATACAAATATTCTTCATTTTAGGTTTATTGTACTATCATCATCAACAGCATAGAAATGCCCAATGCTGAGGCACACGCGAAGGTTTGACCATTAATCAACACGCTTACTTGATATGGGTTGGCGATTTCAAACTGTTAGTAGGTTTAATTTAACTATTTGCATATCGGTAATGTGTGTCATAGTCAAAATACTGGTTCAAATAAGTCATTTTCAACCCACGTATAGCAATATTAGCGTTGGTATTTGTTAAATAGAAACTCGATCGATCAAACGATTGGTTGTGAACGTACTTATTAGCGCTCCAGGCTTTTAGTCGACTAAAATGGGTATTTATAGGCCAATGTGATCCATGTTGTTTAAACTTGGTTTGTTTTTGCTTACTCTATGATCGAGTCTTAAATAGATGACTGTGACAGCAGAGTAGAATTTTGTCAATGTCTCTTTACTCTTTCCGTAAGTTTCATCAGAGTTTTACTTAGCGAATACGTACAGAACAGAGACCGAACTGTGGCAATCTCTGAAAAGACCTGATAATTTTTTAAATGCTATCTTTAATCAGGTGTGTTGATATGGACAAATCCCAGTAGAGTGATAAAATATTACTAACATAATATAACTTCACGCTTTCACGTGTGGAGATATGGAAAAATCCCAGTAGAGTGATAAAATATTACTAACATAATACAACTTCACGCTTTTTATCTTCGAAGAGGTAGGCAGGTCATCACGGCACTTAATGCCAATTTTCATTATTTATGTAATGAGTCCCATGTAATAGGGATGAGCCTATTGTCACAATTACAGATTCCCTGCTACAACTAAAAAGTTTTTTAAAAACCCAGTAATACTTTGCCCGACCCAGGAATCAAACCAGATACCTCTTGCCCGGCAGTCGCATTTGCGACCGCGAGGCAGTGATAAAAATAATATTTTGAAAAGTATAGTATAAAATTGTAAAATCTTACTTTGACTAAATCGTATACCTTTGCGTATTGTCACAATTATTATAGAGGTACGATGTATCGTGCAAATTACATCTTTATAATAACTAGTTTTCAAACCATTCAATCTATGTTTCAAATTACTAACTACACAAAATTATTAACATTTAACTCTCAATTGCTATTGTTAGCTGTTAATGAACTGACTACAAAATTGCATTATAGCGCAACCTAACTAGAATTAACACTTTAATCAAATGTGGTGGTTAATCAAAATAATGCCCTTGTTACTTTTTAAAAAGGCTTTTTATAGAACAATGGCCTATAATTATTGCTTAGTATAATAACATACGAGTTATGAATACTTCAACACACCTTCAGTCGCTGCAAAGTAATGGCAACTTGCATGCGAAGACTTTTAGAATTTTTTTATTTTTTTTTTATATTTATGAAAAGTCTTTCAATAGGGTAGTTTCCAGGGCAAGAAAATTAAAAAAACCAATTAGTCCGTCAGTTAGATAATGAAAAAATATCAGACACGTATGTTTTTATTTTCTCGTTTAAAGTTAAAGAAGTTAAAACAATACTTAAATAAAATGGAGGGGAATTAAGTTTAGGAGTGGGAGGTAGTTACGTCACAACGTGCTATTTTTGTAGCACCATGTGACGTCACACGACATTTCAAATCATTGTATCGTCGAAAGCATTTAATATTGTGGGAAAAGAAAAATACGTGTCTAATGTTTTAAAATAATCTATCAGACGGACCTTAAAAAAAAATTAAGTAAACTACCCTATTGTTTGGTTTTCGTGTTATTCATGCAACATCAGCCGCAACAGCTTGAAAAATCGGCCCTAAATAACAATTAAACACAATGTAAATGAACATAACATCACGCCTTTTATCCCCGAAGGGGTAGGCAGAGGTGCACACAGAAGTAACACCCACTTTTTCACTATTTATGTTATGAGTCCCATGTAATAGGGGGTGAGCCTATTGCCATATACCGGGCACATTTCCAGACTCCGTGCTACTACTGAGGATTTTTTTTAAAACCCCAATATAATTATAATTAATACTTTGCCCGATCCGGGAATCGAACCCGAGACCCCTTGCCCGGCAGTCGCACTTGCGACCACTCGGCCAACGAGGCAATGTAAATGAAATAAAAATAAAACTTTAAATAACACAGCAATGACATTTTATAATTTTGATAAACTAATTTTATCTAATATTGAACGCAGCGTTCATTAAATAAAGAGATTGCTATCGATAAATTGACACGTTGGCACCCATCAGCGCAAAGTCTTATCTGATCAGCAAAAACTCTTATCAGTACTGAAGATTATTAGAACTGTAATGTAGTGTTATATAACCAGCGAAATGAGTGATGTAATTTTAAACAAATAAATCTGTAGGTATTGTTGAGTTTTCCAGAACCATTTCAACATGCTTTTTAATCTGTTGAGGTCAAACTGCCAATGACATAATTATTACTCTGCTATTCAAAATAACGTCAACTAGACTCCTACAATAGCAGAACGCTTTTTAGGGACAAGCGGCAAAATTGCATGTAAGTACATAATTATATTATTACACTTATGATTTTTAACTCGTCGAGTACCGGTTTTGTAGACAATTATAGAACAATAGGTTGCGGTCACCGGTGACCGCTTGGTGTTTGACAGTTTAAAAAAGGGTGGACGAATTGTCACTTAGAAATGATTAAAGCCTACATGTCACTGGTGTATTTGACGGATGAAATAACGACATGTCACGCGACAGATGTCCTTCGTGTCAACGTGGGTGTACACTCTGCGGGTACCTCTATAGTAGTCAGGTACCTCAGTAGTTATTTCAATAGACTTTAGGGAACTGAGAGTATAGTTCCCTAAGAATCGGAAAAGGAGGTTTGTCTTCGGCGAGGTGTTCGTGTCTGGCGGGCTTTCTGCCCGACAATAGGCGTGTCGACAGGGTAAAAAAATCAAAAAAGTAATTAGTCCGTCATTAAGATCGCACGAAAATATCAGACACGTATTTTTTGTTTTATCAAATTAACAGAAGAATACGTAGTTATTCCGCATTAAAGTTAGGGAGTGGGGGGTGTTGACGTCACACTTATGGAGAAATCGTACCTAATTGTGACGTCACGCGTCATTTTAACTCAAAATATCTACATGTTTTTTTGGATACGAGAAAAAAGAAAAAATACGTATTGAAGATTTTTAAAATATCTAAAAGACGGACAAAAAATTAAAAAATAGTCGCCATGCCTATTGTTCGTTGGGATTTTCTATCAGTGTTAATTCGCATGTAAACTTTACTTGTGCGATGTAGGATTTTTATGACGTCATCCGTTGATTTGATCACATCGATATTTGACGTATGACATATTGTGTCACCACAAGACTATGTCCGCCTTTTTTTTCAACGTTCTTATTTAATGGGACGATATTAATGAGCGGTAGATCTTATACTTATTAAAATAATTTATTTTTAGAAAAGATTTTTTATTCTACCAACACTTTCGTAGTGTTACAAAGTAGAAAAAATATGGAGCCACAGATAAAAATAAATTAATTGAGATTAAGTAGTAGGCGACTCTCTATCTACATAATTATTATTTTTGAATTAGCGAAAATGATTTACTTGCAAATATTTTTTTTTTAAGGAAAACGATAAAACGATTGTGTCTTTCGTTCGATCGAAAAGAAATAAATCGATACTGACCCGTTAACAATATGCTTCATTTCATTCGACCCAGTCAATCGATTGGTTCGTTATGTAATCTCAATCATCAGAATCATATTAACCCGCCTACAATGCCTATGATCTGGGTATCACCTATGGTTTCTATATTCCGTCGTTTGATCAAATGAACGGGTATATCAAAATAGGTCAATTATTGATTATGATACGTAATCACGAATCAGTTTTATTAACAGTACAATTGCTTATGATCTAGAGGTATAATTATAACATGAACTGTTATTTTCTTACTATTATAATAAAAGTAAGAAAATTAATTATTGTAAAAAAATATTAAAAAATAAGAAAATTGATTATAAGGAAGGTTCGATTTGGCACTAAATAAAAAACGATGAATAGATATTTGTTTTAGTTTTCATAACTAAATTCTAATTATATTATTATACCTCCATATATTTATTTTACAGAGGGGCGGATGTTCTCATAGTGTTACAAAGCAGAAAAATTACTTAGTGTTACAGAGCCACAGATGAAAAAAGAAGACAATAGGGGCCCCAAATTTAAACAAACATTTTAGCACTCTCTACAAAAATCATTATTTTTAATTTAAAGTAAAGTAGGTACAAAAGCTTATAGTTTTTTTATAACGTTGCCTAATACTAGGATTTTCTCCTATGTTTTAGGTGCATTTACAAACACACAATAGAGACATACACTATAACCTGGAACAACAATTTGTAGAGTTGCACAAAAAATTGTTCCGTGCGGGAATCGAATCTGCGGATACGTCGCATGGCAGCCAGTTGGCCAGCAATTGTGCAAAGCGTGCAACCATAAAGATGGTACATAATTTTATTGACTTTAATATAACACAGGTACAAAACTTTATTAAGATGTCATATTCCCGGTATAAACTTAGATTTAATGTACGATACGACATTCAAATCTTCTTCATTCCTAATTTTTTTTTTTTAAAAACGTTGCCTCACAATAGGATTTTCTCCTGTGTCGTGGGTGCGTTTACAAACATACAAGTTCACATACACAATGACACCCAGACCCGAAACAGCACTTTGTGGATCACACAAAGTGTTGTCCCGTGCGGTAATCGAACCCGCGACACGTTGCACGGCAGCCGGTTGCCCAGCCACCGCACCAACCGTGCAGTCAAATTAAAAGGATGGTAATGCACTTGGGGCTCATCTGGAGTTGCGGGTGTCTATGGGCGGCACTAATTGCTTACCATCAGGCAATACATTTGCTCGTTTGCAAAAAAAGAGAATACAAATTCCACAAGTTTCATTAAAATCTATACCTTCTGCATATTCATTGCGCATCCTTTTCACAGAGTCTAGATTTGTAATGACGACCTATTAAGGATCACTTTTGCAACCGTCTTGGTGTTTGGAGGTTTTTCTGCCAATGTCATATAACATAACATAACATCACGCCTTTTATCCCCGAAGGTGTAAACAGAGGTGCATATTATGCCACTGTACAATGTAACACCCACTTTTCACTATTTATGTTATGAGTCTCATGTAACAGGGGGTGAGCCTATTGCCATGTACCGGGCACGATTTCAAACTCCGTGCTACTACTGAGATTTTTTTTTAACTCAGTATTTCTTTGCCCTATTCGGGAATCGAACCCGAGACCCCTTGCCCGACAGTCGCACTTGCGACCACTCGGCGAACGAGGCAGTCTACGTATTCTACCAATGTCCTGGTTCCATTTTTGTATTATGATGCTTATTTTCCTTTTATTACATTTTTCAGTGTTCAAAGGCAATTAAGGAGTTGGTTTCCTTGTTATTCTGAAGATTTCTATCATCACTGCAGCACAGGTAAGTTTGGTCTTTGTTGTTATTTAATTTTGATATAATTTTAAGTTTCAATATCATTTTAGAAGATTAATATATGGTGTGCAGTCACGATCTAAGTTGTCTGCTTGATTTGATAAATATTTACTAGTTGGTACTAGTAAATATTTACTTGGTATATTACGTGGTCGTGGTCCACGTAGCTGATATGTCGTTGGAATTCAAGGACCCTAAGAAGTAACATTGTATGTTTCATATCTGAATAATAATATGTGACATTTGTCATGTCATAAAAAGACAACATTTTGATGTTTCATAATTATGAACATAAAGTGTTTCATAATTGCAATTCATCTATTATGACATTTTTGAATGGACATTTGTAAAATGGTTTGTAAAGAGTAAATTTCTATGTGTCAAAAAGCAGAATTGTCAGATGTTACTCAAAGGCAACATTTCACAGTTCACTTGGTTTATATTTTTAATAAATGTATAAAAGATAGCAGTTTTAGGCCTTGATGAAAACTTTTAGGAGCATGCACGTGTTTTAGAAAGGATTTCATATCGTGGGCAAAGTGAGACTCTTCGGGAAATGCAAGTTGTTTTTGAAAAACCGGAGCCTGAATTTTTTGGGTTGTTTTGAAGTGAGAAAAAGTGTGTGTCGCGAAATAATCCCAAGAGTTGCAACCGTATTTACCCTCTCGACGTGGTGGAATAAGTATTGTGTGCAAGATAAATAGCCACCAAACTATTCATTACTTAAAGTAGTTATACAACTAAGTTGTAATTTTCCTTTAAGATTCTTTCAAGAAAATAATAGATATACATCATATCTCATTCATTTATTTCTGTTTAAGGTATTAAGTGCACTAAGCTTTTACGCCTCTGGATATCTCGCTGGCGGTGTTTATTGGTTGATTGCAAGATACACTTTTACCCTGCAACAGGGGACTGATATCAAATGCTCGTGTGTGAGGAGCAACAGTTAAAAATTACTATGCAGGTGAGTGGATTTGGTACCTTTACCTACGTGGTGTTCTGATGGGTCTTTGAGGCTCGCGCGAAACGCGACGCGCCATACGCTCGGGTCTGGTTCTGGTCGGGCGGCGAGCCACCCATGCTCGCCGTCCGCAGGCCCGCGCTTACGGTGGCCGGAAATCGTCTCGCGATCCCCGACGTCCGGTGTGTCCTTCGCGACGGCTGGGTTGTGAGGAAGCAGGGCTTTGCTGCCTCATGCGCCCCGCCTGCTAGCATTTATTATAGCTATTATATATTATAGCGAAGCAGTCATGCTAGCATTATCTAGCATGACTGCTTCGCCAAAGGAGGCACTAGGCCCGGACGTGAGAGGTCGCCGTCGCCGCCCACGTCTCTGAGGGTACGGCGGTATTCAGCCCACACAGGGCATTCCCCAACTGTACGTTCCACCGTGTCCTCAGCGCGGTCATCGTAGAGATGACACCCGGGCGTTTCCTCCCGCCCCATCAGACACAGTACCTGTGTACATAGAACGCACGACCCCGGCAGGAGGCGTTTGGCCCCCCGAGGTTGGGTAGGAGGCGCTTAAGCACCGCTCCCGTTCTTTCCAACTTTGGAGCCAAACGTCGGAAGTGCTCCACGAAGTTCCATCGACTGTCGAGGACGAGTCCTAAATACTTCATCGTCGTCTCAACGCCGATGGTAACCCGTCCCGCTGTTATTTGGGGCTCACCCGTAGGTGGCGTGTTCTCGCGGCCATGGAAATACATGGCCTCGGACTTGTGGAGCGCCACCTCGAGTCCCAATTGCCAGATTCACTCAACGACTGTCGCAACTGCTGTCGCCATTAAGTCGGCAGTCCCGTACGCTAGCACCAGCGTCTCGTCGGCGGAGCATATGATGCTAACGCCGCTCGGAAGGTCAGTGCGCAGCATCCAGTCATACCCAATGTTCAATAGGAGAGGCCCCAGAACCGAACCCTGTGGAACACCGCGTGACATCTATCGCCGGTTCCACTCGCTCCGGTGACCAGGGTAGCTGATGGAACTGTCCGTCAGGTAGGCCACAATTATTCGACGTAGATAAGTAGGCACCCGATGATATCGGAGTGCCTCCAAGATGCAGATCTAGGGCAGGGAATTGAAGGCGTTGGCGATGTCCAGAGACACCGCCAGTACGACCTTACCCCTGGACACTGGAGTCCCCGTCGTGAGGTTTTTAACGCGCATAATGGACAACACCGTAGAGCGCCCTCTGCGGAAGCCGAACTCACCGTCCGACAAGTTCGGCCCTATGTCCGACAGGTTCGCGACGAGGCGGTTTGAAATGATTCTTTCGAAGACTTTCCTCAGCTCGTCTAGCAGCAAAATGGGCCGGTACGCGGACGGAGAGTCGTGCGGGCGCCCCATCTTCCTCACGTTTTTAGGTGTATAGCCATGGTACAATCTTTTGGACATATATAAGTTTAAGTTGATCGCAAGATGTACTACCCTATAACACAAGACAAGTGCATTTGCGTTATCTGAAACAATGACATCATGTTTTATTATAGTTTACCATAAACATGGCAATGATAGTAGCTTTAATATGATAAGTAAGGTAAAATTTGCAAGTTAATTATTTTCATTCATAATGTTTCATTTTCAGATGTTCGATTTTTTTTTTGGAGAAGCCGGCCACATTTTTAAACCGCTGCGACTCTTGTAAGCGAGGATCTACCGTAGATACAGCGATGATGACACTCAACACTAAGTCCGGCGTATCAGGGACATAAATAACTGTCTCGGACCCACAACGAAATCAGCTTCTGATTTATCAGAAGATATTATTGGAGAAGAAAAAGACGATAGTTTCCACTTCCCTAGGATTTTTAGTTTTTGAAATAAATGTTTTAAAATGAGTGATTTTATTTTATTGATGTGAATGATATAAACTGAAAGATAGTTGAAATACCTCTCCCCTCTCTTTCTTCATGGTCCAAAAGATTGTATCATGGCTATACACCTAAAAACGTGTGGAAGACGGGGCACCATGCTCTGTCTGACTCTCCGTCCGCAAACCGGACCATTGTGCTGCTCGACGAAGTGGGGAAAGTCTTCGAAATAATCATTTCGAACCACCTCGTCGGGCACCTGTCGAATATTGGACCGGACTTGTAGGACGGTGAGTTTGGCTTCCGCAGAGAACGCTCTACGGTGGACGCCGTCATGCTTGTTAGAGATCTCACGACGGGGACTGCAGTGTCCAGGGATAAGGTTGTACTGGCGGTGTCACAATGTTAATCATTAATATTTACTATTTGTGCAAAATTAAGGATTATTCCAATTTATAGTTTAATTTTATAACTTCTGGGTATCAAAAATACCTATTACTAATATACCGACACGTTAAATTTTACAGGTACCTATGCTTTTAAATATCGTGTGAAGGTAGGTAAAGGTACCATATCCACTCACCTGCATAGTCATTTCTTCGTCACTTCCACCTCTACACAAGCATTTGTTATCAGTCCCCTGTTGCAGGATGATAGTGAATCTTCGAGTCTGACAATGCAATTCGGTGTAGTACCGTCATGGTACGTGGTAGTTCCAATAAATAGTTGGTACAATCCACAAAGAAATGCATGAGATATACAACTCTATTATTTTCTTGAAAAAATTTTAAGAGAAAATTACAACTTAGTTGTATAGCTACTTTAAGTAATGAATAGTTTGGTGGCTATTTATCTTGCACACAGTACTTATTCCACCACATCGAGAGTGTAAATACGGTTCCAACTCTTGAGATTATTTCGCGACGCACACTTTTTCTCACTTCAAAACAACCCAAAAAACTCAGGCTCCGGTATTTCAAAAACAACTTGCATTTCCCGAAGAGTCTCACTTTGCCCACGATATGAAATCCTTTCTAAAACACGTGCCTGCTCCTAAAAGTTTTCAGAAAGGCCTAAATCTGCCATTTGTTATAAATTTAATATAAACTAGATGAACTGTAAAATGTTGCCCTCGAGTAAAACCTGACAAATCTGTTTATTTGACACATAAGAATTCACTCTTTGCAAACCATTTAACGAATTTCCATTCAAAAGTGTCATATTAGATGAATTGCAAATATGAAGCACTTTCCGTTCATATTATGAAACATCAAAATGTTGTCTTTTTATGACATGACAAATGTCACATATTATGATACATATATGAAACATACAATGTTACTTTTTTAGGCCCCCTGGTCTATTGAATTTGCGGATGCGAATCTTTTTTAACATTTCTATGTGTAGTATAAAGTCGTATAAAACATAAAAATTAAATAAAATCAATTATGTACTATGAAATAGAAATAACTATTAATGTTGTATCGATCAATTCATCCTCATACTTATTTTAGGCATAGGATTTTATTATTGTCTTCCTTCGGGATTTAGAATAAAATACTGTTAATTTTGTAGTTTTTATTTATTACACATTTATTTTTTATTTAAATAAGTATACCAACAACTTATGTATACATAGTATTAAAAGATAATAAAGGTAACAATAGGTATTGGGCTTATACAGTCGCCAATTATAGGTTAACTAACTTATTTAAAGAAATATAAAATTGAAGACTTTTATAGAACTTTAAAAACATTGGCTATAACAAAATTAAACATTTAAAAAAAAACACGTTTCGTGAAAATGAAAATGTTAATAAATATATAAAGTGAAGGATATGAACATTTTTTTTAAATGTGTCTAAAGATTTGGGTTTAGAAAAATGAGATATGGACACTTACAACTAAAACGTACTCATCAAATATTTCACAATTACAAAACTAAGTTGTGAGGTTTTGGGGATTCCAGTATTCGGGTCTTAAAGACTTTTATGTCAACATCTGGAGTGGACTTTATAAAAGAATTCAATCTCATGGGCGAGCCTATTAAAAGGTGAATTCACCCCTATATTTGTATTGGATGCTATAGTATGAAACAGGTTTGATATGGGATATCTGGGCAATTTATGGGGCACTCGTAGTTGCACCCGTTCAATCAATTTATTACAGTCTAGTCCATTATTAACAAATTTGTAGAAGAATATAAGATCCTGCAACAGTCGACGGTTACGCAGAGTATTCATTTCAAAGCTTTGAAGACGTTGTTCATATGGACACTGGTGAGAAATATTGTCAAAGATGTATGCTAAGTGCTTTGTGAAGGCTCTTTAGATGCTTTCTATTCTTTGTGAATGTACTGCGTAGTGCGGGTTCTATACTACACTGGCAAACTCTAGGTGGCTACGAACTAAGGCATTATATAGGACTATTTTTGTCCTCACCAGCGTAAATCCTCTAGTACTTAAGAAATCCCAGTAGCTGTGCCGATTTCGTAACAATGTGATCAATATGACTCCTGAAGTTAACTTAACTATCCATAATGATGTCCAGATCACAAACCTCACTGACAGATTCCAATAACGCTCCTCTTATATTATATGAAACAATATTAGTTTGTCTCTTTCTACTTAAACGTATATGACTACATTTTTGTATATTAAGTTTCATGTGGTTCAGTGCACACCCAATGGTATACTAAATGACGGCACTACCCTAATTCAAGATTTGATGTAATGGTTTTATAAATTTTGAGATCATCAGCAAACAAAAGATACTTACAGAGATGAATTTGGTCAGTAATGTCATTAATGAAAAGCGCAAACAGGACGGTAGCAAGATGAGAACCCTGAGGAACTCCTGAGTCAGTAGGGTACGGATAAGATTCATAGCCATGAACAACAAAAATCTGCGATCTACGCGATAAGTAGGAAGAAAACCAGTTCAGAAGTGAACCATTAACGCCATTGTATTCCAACTTGGAGAGTAACAACGAATAGTCAACCTTGTCAAATGCACTGCTAAAGTCTAAACACATCTAAACATGTTACAAAATACAGTAAATAAATAGCAAAATAAATAAAATTGAATAAAAATTTACGATTTCAGATAATTTAATTGACGGCGTGCCACCGCTACACTGCTTGGTCGTTCAGAGCATCCTTGGAGGCCGAGTAAACATGGGTCGTATGAGTGCTTGCGCCGATTCGCTGGTTTCTGTGGAGTTGAGGTATTGTAAGTTCTTTATATTGTGACATGGTCATCTCAAAGCCCTCCACTAATAAGTCTGTGTATTCTGTGTAACTTACCACTCTAAGCTATCAGTGTCCATAACTATGATAGACTTTTTACACGGAGGTCTTGTTTTCTTAATAATTTTCTCAATTACTTGGTTCCATTTTGCTGATAATTTAAATCCATCATTCCGATTTAATGTATACGGATAATGTTTCCTAATTTCAATTGCTTCCCGAACAATTCTTGAATGATTACGGGAATGATTACGGCGATCAGTATAAAGAACTTTAACATGATCTTCTATTGAGTGACCACGACCTGATAAAAACACATGTTCGGCTATTGCTGACTTATTAATTTGTTTACGTTTTAAATCAGCTTGGTGTTCTTTGAATCTTTTAATGATGGGTCGTTTCGTTTGGCCTATGTAGCTCAATCCACAGCTACAATTTATTTTGTAGATGCCCGGTTTTCGTAACCGCGAGTCGTCCTTTGGTTTGTTTATTATTTGTTTGATTTTTATTCCCGGTTGATATATCGTTGGTATCGAGTATTCCTTTAGTAAGATCAAACCAATCTTATTAGTCACTCCTTTGATGTAAGGCATGTAAGTTGGTTGTCTTTTTACTAGAGGCTGTTCACGTGTCTTTAGTCGCTCACATCGCCTTTTTATTTGATATCCATTTTTTCTTATCACTTCATGAATGTAGTCTATCTCTTGCTCTAAATGTTCAGAGTCACAGAGATCGTATGCTTTGTCCATCAATGACGTGATTACAGATTGCAAGAAGCGTGGATGATGCTGAGATGTCGCATGTAGGAGTCTGCCTATATCTGTAGGTTTCCAGTACACACTATGTGACAAAGTTCTATCTGCTTTCACCGATACCTTAACGTCTAGAAATGCCAACGTTCTGTCTCTCTCCATTTCATATGTAAATTTAATATTTTTATTAATGGAACTTAGGTACGTAATATATTGTTCAACGTCTGCTTTACTCCCAGTAAAAATACAGAAAATTTCATCAACATTTCGTTTCCACACTTTGATGATATTTTGACCATTACGTAAAGCTTTTGACTCAAACTTTTCCATCCAAAGATTAGCCAATATGGGACTGACAGGGTTACCCATTGTTAATCCATCAGTCTGGAGGTAACACTTATCTTGGAAAAGAAAATAATTGCCGAATAAACATATTTCAAGTAAATTCATATAGCTCAACGGCAATATGTTTAGATCTACGATATTTAAACACTCTATAATAGAAATATTGATATAAAGTGACTGCACGTTAAGATTTACCATGATATCGTTAGGTTCCAATTTGATATCCTTGATTATCTCTACAAAATGTCTTGAATCCTTCACAAAGCGTGACGAATTTTCAACTAATGGCTGTAAAGCTTGCACCATGTGTTTAGCGAGATCATAGATTGGAGAATCAATTTGGCATAAGATGGGTTCCAATAACACGCTATCCTCACATATTTTAGGCAAACCATATAGTCTAGGTGGTTGTTGAGGTGCCGGTTTATCTAGTTTCTCAAACTCGTCTGTAGTAAAAACCTCCTGATATTTGCGAACTGCCTGTAAATGGTGCGTTTTGGCTGTGTTATTGTACGATACAGGCTTGTACAATTTTTCGTTATTCAACAAATTTTTCATTTGATTATTGTACTCAGATGTGTACATGACCACAACTACGTTTTGTTTGTCGGATTTAAGTACTTTGATGTTTTTGTTGTTCCGAATGTCTATCAATGCTTTTCTTTCTTTCCTTGTAATATTGCTGCGTGGAAGTTTTGATTCGCACAGTATTGCTGCGACGTCATGACGGATTTTTTCTGCATCGTTAATCGGTATATTATTTTGGAATATTGCTTCTTCGATACTGCAGATTACAATCTCGTAAGGTAATTGCTTAGGTGTTATAGCAAAGTTCAGACCTTTGCCTAATGCACTTATCGTTGGTTTATCTACGGCAACTTGTAATTTATTTACAACTGCATATCGTAAAGGATCAATTCGTAATTCGACAGCATGTGCTTTTGATTGCATACATTCACTGTCATAAAATTCATTATTGTGCTTGTCTTTTATTGAAAGTATAGAAGTACTTACAGCCATTTTTCCTGTTATTGTAATAGCAGTTGTATCAATACGTCTACACTCTGATCCGACGAAAAACGACGTTGGTCCGATATTTCGTATGTTTCTTACTACAATGCTATTTTCGCGGCAAAATTTCTTGTGAATGAACGAAAAATGAGTCATTCAGTTTAATGACGTTAAACCCCACTGTAGTTCATTTTGCGTATTAACGAAAATTCGAATTTGACAGATGTCATTTTTTTTTTAAGTTGCCACACACTAGGATTTTCTCCTGTGTCGTGAGTGCGTTTACAAACAAACAATATTACATGCACATGACACTAAAATAGTGATCGTTTTCTTTTTGTTTTAATTTTGTGTTTAACACATGGAACGCAGAAGAAATCACCATGAATACAGAAATCAATGTATATATAAGTCAAATATATAGTTGTTAATAATTATACAGTAATCAAAACTTCTTTACTTCTATACAATTATTCACACATTCAATATTCGTTCATTATTGTTGTTTTGGTTAGATTATAACCTCAAAATTTGATACTTTTTTGAAATATATCTTTTCAGCAGCTAGTCCACTATAAAAACGATCTTCTAGGAGTCTATAAATGATAGAGAATCTCTTGGCTCCAGGGCCAACAATGTATGGACGCAGAGCAATGTCCTTAATAGATAATTCGAATGTAATCTCCTTCCTGACGTCAGACCAATCTGACGATTGGTACAAACTCTTAATCTTGATGATTACACAATATAATATTTTTTTTCATAATTACTTCCATTATGGATATCAAACAAATGAGATTGATTAGTAGAATAGAGCTCATTAAAACAGTTTAACAAAAATATTTTTTATGTATTACATAACATCACGCCTTTTATCCTCGAAGGGGTGGGTGGAGGTGCACACAGAAGTAAAGCTCACTTGTTTACTATTTATGTTATGAGTCCCATGTAGTAGGGGAGTCTATTGCCATATTCCGGGCGCAGTTCCAGATTCAGATACTGAGTTTTTTTTTAAACTATTTTTTAGGTTGTGTGCCTCGTTGGCCGAGTGGTCGCAAGTGCGAGGGCCAGAGAGTCATTCGATGATTTTCCCCCCTTAAAAAAAAAAAGTGCGAGTGCCGGGGCAAGGGGTCTCGGGTACGATTCCCGGGTCAGGCAAAGTATTACTGGGTTTTTTAATGTATTACTTGTTTTAAAATATTAAAATTTATCATACTTAGGTACTTACCAGAAGAATTGAATCTAAACCCTACAATAATTATTTCATTTTATACTTGATAAGTCGACGTTTGGCCACCATCTCGCCTGGTGGTAAGCGATGATGTGGCCGACGATGGAGCACGCCTACCTATGAGCAACCTGTTCACTCGATATTTGCTTTCATAGCAATATTATGGTCAAGAATATATTATCTATGTTCTTACCTCTATATGCAAACTTAAACAGTTTAAATGGTTTGTGTACGTGCAACGTACATATCAAAGTAAATCGCTTTTTTAAACATTAAGTTACAAGTTTTATCACGTTGACGTTTAGTTTGTACGTCATGCGATTTAATATAGAGGTAGAAGGAACATGAAATTATAACAAAAGACAAACTTAAGCCTTAAGTTTTCGGATCTACCTACCTTTATAATTAGGTAATCACCCAATATGAAGGTATGTTAGCAGTTACCCTTATAATTTCCTAATTAATGAAAAAGAGTATTACTGGGCTACTTAAAGATTCTCATTAGTAGCACCGAGTCTGGAATTGTGCCCGGTATATGGCAATAGGCTCACCCCCTATTACATGGGACTCGTAACATAAATAGTGAAAAGTGGGTGTTACATTGTACAGTGGCATAGAGTACCGTAATATGCACCTCTACCTACCCCTTTGGGAATTAAAGACGTAATGTTATGTTATGTTATGTGATCGATGACGCATACAAATTTTATTCCATGACATGATAATGAACATTCAAAGAAGTCTCTTTATTGCAAAAAGCTTTACTGTAAGCTGTACAACGTTTGGATATGGTAACGCCATCTATTTTATAAATGCTGGACTATCAATAAAGATATTGCGCACGCCGGCGACTGTTTTGTTCGTCGTTTACAAATACATGGCTCTACTTAGTACGCTTACTGCTATACGCTACCACTTGTTTAGTTCAAGTTAGATTGCTTGACATGTGTAATGTGTCATGTAAAACGATTTAATACAAAGATGTGGATGAAGATGATGATATAAATAAATATCTTGACTGGTTTGTCTAGTACAATAAGTTTTATGAATCTTATTTCTAATTATTTCTAATTACGATTATTGACATTTTGGCAAATCGATTTTTACGCCAACAAATGTATTTTATCTAAATTTCTATTTAAACTATTTTGTGTTAACGAAACCTTTTAGGATGTGTCTTGCTATAAATACGCTTGCTATGAAGTGTTCTTCCTCTTAAGTCTTTTAAATAGGTATAGACAGTAAGATAGACTAAAAAAAAGTTAATATTGATAATAATATAAACAGTGAAATGTTTATATCCTAAAAAAGCAACATGCTAAATTCAGTAATGTTCAGATCATTCAGTATTTTATTTCGCCGCCTTTTATTCTCGATAAAGGGGTTATTTTAAAGGCCTTTCTTGCTAATTACCTCTTTTGCAAATATCAAATTAGAACACAGTTAATGAGGCATCCTTGTCATCATTCCATTTTTATTCAGGACGTTTTTGTGGAACAATTTATTTACTTTTAAGGCCTGTTTCTGGAATATTTTACCTTTATCCTTGTAGGAAAGAAATGAGTTGTTTTGTGTTAAATAAATGTGATGATTACTCTGAATATGAGATAATTGAGTGATTAATTTTATAGTAACAATCCAATTTGTTTTAATAATAAATCTACTTACAAATACTTTACTTAGTAAAGCTTTCAAAATGTAGATTGTATATCGTCAAAGTCAAAGCATTTATTTCAATTAAACCATAGTTTGGTACTTTTGAAACGTCAACAAATACAAAATAAATAATAGTCTGTCAGTCAGTCCGTCAGTGAAATTAGGTGAAGCTAGGTGCTCATTCCAAAACGTAGATTCGAATGGAGAAGAACGAGCAAGAAACTCCATTCGTTACTCTTTTTAAAAAAAGTATGTTCTACAATGTCTCTGATACATATTTCAATACTGTACGCATATGTAAGAACAATGCAAAGCGAAATTGATAGCGATTGTTTCATTTATTTCAGTTGGACGGATCCTTCTTGGTGCAGAAGATTTTTGAAATGGAAGAACCCGTAGCTCAACATGCTAAAGTTGTTTAACTGGACAAATCCTGGCCTTAGATACCTCCAGTCAAGGGGTGCAGAAGATAAAGATAAAAAGAGTGTAATTTAGTAAGTATCTAGAGGTATATTGTAAGTTAGTGTCATACGTTTTTCGTAATACACGTTTGGTTTGGTTATTTATATTATAACTTACAGAGACATACTAAATTAATTACTTGAGACATACTAAATTAATTACTATGTTTTCCGCGTACTCATGTAATTGTTTGACAAGGAACTCGACTAGTTTTAAGCCATGCTAGAGGCTCATGTTCATGACTAGCATTCCGCAACCTGCGACGACGCGCCGACTGTCGCCCTGCTACTGTACAGTACTACTACGGTAGCAGCGCGACAGTCTTCTTGTGGTTGTTGAAGTAACTATTAATAAAAATAAAAGTGGGGTAAGGTAATACAGTATGATTTGAAGCTTTTATAAAACATATTATTATTCTACCTTATTCTTACACACTGCACACATATTTGCTTAATTCCTTTAGAGATCAAAATCTCATAAGTAAGAAAGATATACGCAACAATAAAAAGTACTAAGTAAATGTTTCATAGACAATCAATGAAAAACTTTTCCTCAAATAATTTGTTTTTATTCAACTTTAGAAAACATGGCGTTGCATTCGCAACAAAAAATATTATAAATGAGAACGTTCGTAGTCCGTACCTCACAAAACTGTTTTCTGCGCAAGGATATTGTTGGTGCAGTCACCGGCAAACGGTTGCATAGTGACAAATTGTTTCGTAGCACGAGACGACAGCATTCTGCACGCCTTTTATGGATTCCTGGTGAAAAACTGAAATGAAAAATTACGAAAAATGTCATTGCAACGGAATTTATAACAATTTTTTTATTTCAAATCGGAAAATTCAACATTTTTCTTTGAGTAAATAAAGGTCACTTTCAACCAACTGATCAGAGAGTCATTACAGGCCTATGTTGCTTATGTTCAGCTATGGTCGACATGTAGCTGATAAAGAGGTAGAATAGCTTTCTCTCAATATAAGAAACAAGACTATACATTGAGTCAAAGTTACTCGTAGCATTTATTACTTAAAAAACTCAACAGTGATCACAATCAAAGCAAACAAACACAATAAGAATTGTAAGAAGCACATCAAAATTTTGTAGGCAACACGACGCACAAAGCTATGGGGAAAGTACTCGTAATTTTTGTATTCGAGCACAGCCACATGTCTTTCATAATTATCTTCACATGCAAGTAAATAATGTCGGTAGAGCGCGGAAATTTCAGACGTTGTCAACAAGATTGACAACATCCATAAACGCTTTTGTACGCGCTCATTCGCGTCGTAAACAGCCTTTGACGTCACGTGCGTTTTGAGTGAAATTCTGACGTATTATCATTACTTTCTTATTATATTTATACAGATTATTGTGGTATGCTTAATATTTTATTGAATGGATAAGGTTATTTACGGCGATTTTATATACCTATCTCTGTAGATTTGCTTACTGAGATAGAATTGTGACTTAAGTTCCATACAAAATATGTCAAAATTCTATATTAGCAAGCAAAATAATCTACAGATTGATAGGTTATAGAAAATGGCCGTTAGTAAAAGTAGTTTTAATGAATAGAAGTTACACAAACAATAATTGAAATCAATCAAAAAGATATCAAGCTATAGGATATTTTTAATTCTTCGAATGGATTTGTAAA